ATCTTCTGTATGAGCTAAGCTTAATATGGGTGAATTAAAAGTTACTAATATAACTTTGCAAATGGTAGATCGTTCTATTAAGTACCCTTTTGGTATTTTAGAGGATGTCCTTGTCAGAGTTGGTAAATTTTTTATCCCTGTTGATTTTGTTGTTTTAGACATGGCTAAGGATACACAAATTCCCATTATATTAGGTAGGCCTTTTCTCCATACTGCAAGAGCCATTATTGATGTCAAAAATGGTAAACTAACCCTTTCTTTTGGTGATGATAATGTTACTTTTAATTTAGGGAAAGTTTTGAAAGGACCTATGCTAGAGGAAAATTGTTGTTTAATTGATGTGATTGATATAATGGATGATATTTGTGATGAAAGCTTACCACAGGTTCTTGCAAGGGATCCCTTTGAGGAAATTCTTTGTGGAGATTTATCTGCAGATAATGCAAGCGTCTGGGGTAATGATGTGGATGCCATTGAAAAAGCTCTTTCCCTAGAAGAGCTAGAACCCAAAGAGACCATGAAAGTAGTGAATTTAGTTCAGGAATCAAAACATGCAGAGGTTAATAAACCTGAACTAAAACCTCTTCCTTCTCATTTAAAATATATTTTTCTTGATGAGCAAGAACTATACCCTGTGATCATCAATACTGCACTTGATGACCTACAAACTTCCCAACTTCTAGAGGTTCTTTGAACCCATAAAAGAGCAATTGGGTACAGTATTGATGATCTTAAGGGTATTAGCCCTGATTTTTGTATGCACATGATACATTTATAGGACAACTATAAGCCCTGTATTCAACCCCAGAGAAGGTTGAATCCTAATATTATGGAAGTAGTCAAGAAAGAGGTTATGGAATTACTTGATGCAGGTATTATCTATCCTATTTCTGACTCTAAGTGGTTAAGTCCTGTAAAGGTGGTTCCTAAAAAAAGGTGGGATAACTTTGATTAAAAACGAGAAAAATAAATTGATTCCCACTAGAACTGTTACATGGTGGCGTATGTGCATTGATTATCATATATTAAATATCGCCACTAAAAAGGACCACTTCCCCCTTCCCTTTATTGATCAAATGCTTGAAAGGTTAGCTAATCATAAGTTTTTTTGTTATTTTGATGGGTATTCGGGATTTTTCCATATTCCAATTCACCTTGAAGATCAGGTAAAGACTACATTTACATGTCCTTATGGTACTTTTGCATATCGTAGGATGCCCTTTGGTTTATGTAATGCCCCTGCTACCTTTCAACGTTGCATGATGAGCATTTTTTTCTGATTCCATAGAGTCTGTTATGGAAGTCTTTATGGATGATTTTAGTGTGTATGGTTCTTCATCTGATGCATGCTTAGCAAATCTCGCAAAAATCTTGAAAAGATGTAAAGAATGTAATTTGGTTCTAAATTGGGAGAATGTCACTTTATGGTGAGAGAGGGAGTAGTTCTAGGTCATATTGTATATTAAAAGGGTATACAGGTAGATAAAGCTAAGATTTCTTTGATTGAGCAATCACCTCCCCCAGTTAATGTTAAGGGAGTTAGAAGTTTCTTAGGTCATGCCGGGTTTTATCGTCGCTTTATCAAAGATTTTTCTAAAATTGCTAAACCACTAACTCAGCTTTTACTTAAGGATGCCCCTTTAATTTTGACGGACGAGTGTCTTGAGGCTTTTAACAAGATAAAGCAGGCTCACCCATCATATGTGCACCCGATTGGAATTTTCCTTTCGAGATTATGTGTGATGCAAGTGACTTTGCACTAGGAGCCATGCTTGGGCAGAGAAAGAACAAAGTTTTGCATGCTATTTATTATGCAAGTAAAACTTTGGATGAGGCCCAAGTCAACTACGTCACCACGGAAAAGGAGTTTCTTGCTATGATTTATGCTTTAGAAAAATTTAGATCATATCTTGTTGGCTCCAAAGTTATTTTTTTACTGATCATGCAGCTTTAAAGTACTTGATAGCCAAGGCAGAATCAAAGCCTCGGCTACTCCGTTGGGTTCTCTTACTCCAGAATTTTAATATTGAGATAAAGGACAAAAAGGGTGCAGAAAACATGGTGGCAAACCACCTGTCACGTATAAGGTATGATGAGGGTAAGGACTCTCTTCCTATAAATGATTCTTTCGCTATTGATCGCGGGTAAGAGTAGGTCGTTGTTCTACTAACCCTAACAAAATTAGAAATTTATAATACCTAAACTTACACTAAACTAGTTAGTGGCAAGTAAAGGGTCGAACCACGAAGACTAAGTGTATCAATTTGTGCAAATTAGATTAGTAGGAAGGGTTGTGAGATAGAGAGAGATTAAACCAAATACTACTAAGAGAAAATAACTAATACTAGGGAAAGTGGAATCCAATTACATCAATGCATTCAACAACATCATACAATAAGATGAAAATGACCTCGATTAGGAAAATGAACACATTTAACTCACTCTCGCACAATTAATCTTGTTAATTATCCTACTAAACTAATTCACTCTCGTGCAATTAGCCTAGCAAAGGTATTGAAGAATTTAGGGCTCTCAACCAACTCACTCTTGCACAATTGATTGAAAGCACAATTAAGAGCATAGAATCGATTAGCTAGAAGGATTCTAATCCATAAAAGCATCATCCATACGCAATAATCAAGAAACAATTTCATACTAATCACAATCAATCATTCAATTCATTAATATAACCTTCATCCTATTCCCTAGAACAAGACCTAAGCTAACATAATGAAGATAGACATGGAAAACAAGGTAAAATAAGAATAAAACAAGATCAAACAAACAAACTAATTAATCTACTCAAATCAACAAACAAAAAGCAAAAACTAAGAACTAAGCAAAGCAATAAAGATAAGATAAAGTTAGAAAATGCTCATTGAATAGATGAGAAGAAGTTCCACAAAGTTGCTTCTTCAACCTCTCAAAAACCCCATGGAAATCCAACCTTTCTCTCTCTAAAACTACTCCTAAAGTAGAGAGAGAAAATCCTTATCTAACCTTAAGAGAGAAAAGCTCTCCTAAAACTAGGGAAAAATACTTAAAGGAAAAAAAATGAAGTTTTCCCGTAAAAAAACAAGGCTCGAAAATATAAAGGAAGTCGCGAAAAAACGCTGAACAAGGCTCGTTGTGCGCCCGCGCATGGTAGTTGTGTGCCTGCGCACGGTATTTGTGCACCCGCGCAAGGTACCTGTGCGCCCGCGCACACTACTACAAAAGGAGTGTATTTTCAACAGTATAGCCTCGACGCAGAGCAAGAGCATCAACAGGTAATTGTGATATCCGTGTTTTCTCGACGCTTTTTATAGTCAAAAGAAATTTTAGACTACAAAAAGCGTTGAGAGCACTAAATTGGCCCTCACGTACATTTAATAAGTTGTACCGCATTCTCAAAAACCACGCACCCAATATCACGAAACCCACCTACTCCTCATTTTCGAACATCACGGAAACTACTCCATTCTATTTTCCTTCATTCGATCTGAATTCTTCACAGAGATTCATGGAGTCTTGGCCTAGAATTTGAATTCAGATCTCATTCTTTCTTCTTTCGTTTCATAATTCTATCACAATAATTTATTTATCATGCCAAAATTATTGTCTTTGTATCAAATTTGAGGGTTTGTTGAAAGTTGTTTTGCGGCAACCATTTTTCCTGCTCTCCTCACAGGTTACATTTTTACATCAATCTTTGTTCATTTTCAACTCTTAGGGGGTGTTTGGTATCAAATTAGTAAATGTAAGGGAATGGAAACAAATTAGAAGGGGAAAGGGTAATATATAGTGTTACCCTTACTAGTTGTTTGGTATTACTAAGGAAACGTAAATAATTGTAATCAATCCCTTTCCTCTTGTTTGGCATAGATAACTTGGAAACAAATAGTTTTCCTTCTAATTTTTGATGTCTTGGCTAACTTTTGATATACATTATACAATGTAGAGCAACACTAATTACCATAATATACATATATATATTTTTTGAACCGATTACCATAATATATCATATGCTAGATATATAGGCAAAGTCACATAAGTTGTTGACTACAAAAGCATTGAAATTCTAGTATTCTCAAAAAAAAAAAAAATAATAAAAAAAAGCATTTAAAAACCATTAAAACATTAATTCCAATAACAACTTAGGACAAAACTTTCTACTTCTTCTTAAGAAGATCAATTGCATATTGTTTCTTCATATTAGTTGGAGCTTGATAGAAGATGCTGAGCTTCATACGTCCAATACCTTTTATTTTTACCTCTACCTCGATTGCTTGCCTCACCCTTAGCTTGACTAGCCTCCATCTGAAAAATTAAAAACAAAAAATAAAAAACCAAAAATCAATTGAAGCTACTACTGACCTAATGCTGATTTTTTTAAAATAAAGACATCATTTAACAATCACCATTGAAAATGTTAACATACAAAAACATAACACCATAAAAAAGGTAGTGGTACAGATGCAATAAAGACTGAAAGGATAACAAGCAGACTAGTAGAGGTTATGAGATGTCAAGACTTAAGAGTAAAATTATCGAGATTAATGAGTTTTTTTTTTCAACAATAGATTTAAAAGGTACATAAATTTAATTAGCACCCAAAGATCCATCAATTGTGTCAAAAGAGGCTGGAGTGCCTAAGATGCATCAGTATTAAAGTGCCTTAGAAAAATTTCCTAGCCTATAACCATGAAGGCAATGAAGCACACTAGTACAAATCAATGAAAACTAGAAAATATAATGTCCAAGACAAAATCCTAATAGTAAATCTAGACCAATGAAGCCTTATGTTTCAATACAAGATCAATGTACACCAAACTTTACAATCAAAACAACATAATAGGATTAACTAATCTTGAATTGAGAATGATGGGATTACAACAATACATAAAAACACACTAATAAAACATTCTTTTAAATGGTATCTTTGACCTCTATATGGAGCAAGAAAACCCTCACAATTCGTATACCCCGCATCAGCCAAATAATAATTACCTTCACTTACCTCAAGGTACTCTAAAACCGTTTGGTCTAGAAAGAGCATTTCGAAGTACACGCATATCATGGGCCAAGTCTTCCCAACCAGGAAGAACATAAATAAATTGCATATTAGGTGCACAAACACCCAATACATTCATAGCAATCGTTCCTTTTCTTGTTCTATACTTTGGTCGTTCTTTTGAAGGCACATTTACATTAATGTAAGTCCCATCTAATGCCCCTAAACAATTCTACAAAAATAGGAAAAACTATTACTTACAAACAAGCAAAAATAAGAAAATCCTAGCAAAATTTAGGGGCTTTGAAAATATCAATACCTTGAAGGATTTCCACCTTTCATCTTCACAATCATCCAATATTTGTGTGGGATTGTAAAGTAGTACTTCATGCAACTTGAGAAAAGCCCTTAGACAAAGGTGAAATTGCCGGCTCACGGTTTCTCCACTTCTATAGAAGTAATGTCCAATAGACCTATTCTTCTTATGATGAGCCAACGTGTATAAAAACATGGCTACTATCTCTTGAAGCGACATGTTTTTTGTTCCACTCAAACCCCCAATGTCTCTAAGCATCTCACAAATAATATTGAAAGTTTTTCTATTAACGCGAAGCTCACTCTTGCATTTCACATCACTCTCCTATAAAGCCCTCTCAATACTAACATCCGTAACAATTTTTTGTTTCTTTTCCTATCTTTTATTTGAACCCCCCTTATTGTAACAACGCTAATTATATACCACATCCAATACATCATCAACATAATAATAACCATTGCAATTACTATTTGTATTTGTTTTAGCTTTTTCTTCCTTATAGAATGCATAAGTCGAGGCATTGTACAAGAAACACAGAAAATAAATGGCAATTGAACCTGATAAATGGCAAAACAATAGTTATATCAATCTCTAGTTAATCAAATAACAAATATTGTCAACCAAATCATGAGGAGTAAACTACTCAAGAAACAAGCAAAATTAAGCAAAAAAACCATGGTCTATATACTCAAAATAGTAGCAGTAACTTTCTCACTGTAATGCATACACATATGGAGCAAAATAAGACATGTATAGCACCAGAAAACCATGGTCTATATACTCAAAATAGTAGCAGCAACTTTCTCATCGTAATGCATACATATGGAGCAAAATAAGACATGTTCAGCACCACCAATAATCTATTACATTCATAACATACATATAATTACCAAATGAAGAAATTATACAAAACTCCAATGTTTGTTAAATAATTTCAAGTGAATTGAAGCTTAAAACAATAACATTCGTAGCTGAAACTTGAAGTAATTATAATAATACAATCAAAAATAAAACAAAAACAACTTTCTAAGATTGCAATTGAACACGCAAGTAATAAATTCATACCAAAAAACGCAAAAAATTGATACTACATGAAACCTAGAAATTGAACGAAAACAACTTTCTGAAGTTGCAATTGAACACGCAAGTAATAATTCATACCAAAAACGCAAAAATTGATACTACATGAACCCTAGAAATTGAATGAGAGAAATGAAGATAGCAAACCTGTGATAATTTCTGAAGATTTGCAGAAGAAAATCGAAAATTTAGGAGTAAGATCTGGAGAATTGCATCTTCCTCGTAGAATCGTCGAAATTTTTTGGGAATTTTCAAAGAATTATCAAGCAAGTGAAGAGGAGAGACAAGAATTTTCTTTATTTTTTGTGTTAGAGGAAGGAAAGGGGATTTGTTTCCTCACCTATTACAGGGGAAACAATTGGGTGGATTGGGTTACCCCTAACTAACGGTTTGTGTTACTTTAGTCCGTAACCAAACACAATGTAACGGAAACGCTAATATGATTCCGTTTCCATCCCTATAAAATCCCTATATCAAACACTCCCTTAATAGGTATAAATTGCTTTTATTAGTTAATTTTTTGTGTAATTTTAATTTATAGTTACAAGTTGCAATTACCCAATCTCGTTTCAAAACCTAGGTTATATAGATCTTGTTCTATTTCTGTTTCTTCAAATAAATCTCTTAGTTTCTAGATATTTTCTTACACATTAGTGATTTATTGGATGGCTAATTCATCTGTTTAGATCTATTTCTATATGGTAAGTAAAACTTGAGATTGATTTAATTTCATGTGTTCTCTTTGATTAATTGGGTTCAAGGTTGATGTCTTCCATATCGCTCTGTCAACTATTGTTTTGTACGTGGTTAAGTCCATGATTCAATATTTTATAAATTAGAGAGAAATTATTAGATCATAAAAATTATACTATGAAGTTACGAGTTAGCAGTAGATGAACTTTGATTAAATTCTACTCTGAGCTGAATTGTAGAATAGTTTGTTTAAGTTGTACGATGAAACAATTTCGGTGTGGGCCTTGCCTTGAAATGCCAGTATTTATGGGATATCATGAATTTTTGATACAATAATTTTAATAGAGAGTTTCCATGTTCATATCCAGCTGCTGGTTCCTGACTTACCTCGATCTCTCAAATAATAAATTTAGTGGGGTGATCATAGAATCCTTTTATACCAGCCTTCCTAAGCTTCCTAAGCTTCGGTTTCTTGATCTTAGTTATTGGATTAAATAACTACTACATTTTGGTAACTAGTTTCTCTTGCTAATGAAATTTTATCTCCTGACATATTTAGAGTGGGTGTTGTGACTGTTGTCAAAAGTCTTCCTTTTCTTTTTCTGATTCATGTTACTTCTCTTTCATCATTTTTGTGCACAAGCAATCTCGTGGCTATGGATACAATAACTGAGGATGATTTCTGATTTTCCTGGCTTTATGATAAATGTGGTGGGAGTTGGCGCAACTATACAAGCTAAGCTATACCAAGCTTTGGAAAAGATTATCTTGATACATGTTTTGCTTCCATCCATGTTTGACTGATACGAGTCTTCTAAAAATTGTAGCTGCATTTTTATGTATATTGCTCAAGCTATCATTAGTATCATACTGAATTACTGATATATATTGGCTTTCTTAGTGGAAACTTGTAGTTGACTCACAAAAGGATCTTAATCGAATTTGGTCTGGTTTAATCTAATTGAAGATCCTAGCTTTTATAACTACTCCGCTGATTAGTTAGTGTGCTCAAATTTGATACTATTGGCATGCTCTTAGATCGAGTTTGCTAACTTTCTGTTTTTGTTACATTTGGTGGCAAGTCCTCAGTTCTCAGTTCTCAGCTAGTTTGCTTACTTTTTGTCATGCTTCATGGAGGACTAGCGGCAAGCTAAAATAACATAACATTTTTATTAAGGGCTTAATCTTTATCTGATTGTTGATACTCTAATAAAATGCTCTTGCAATTCTGCAATTTTATTTTTCAGCAAACTGAAATAGAATTATAAATAGCAGGGCTGGGATGATACTTACGCAGGAGTCATGAGAGGGCTTGAATATTTTCCTACATCCAAACCAGGTATCACTGCACATATTTACTTGGTTTCATTAGTAGTAGTAGTAGTAGTATATATATATATGATGATGTGTACTATTCAAACAGTTAGGAGCTATAGTACATGTTCGGTTATTAGATTATCTACTATAGTTACCTATTCAGTTATGCATTTTGCTTTTGATAGGAATTGTTATTTGCAAAGATCTTTTTATCTTGTAGATCTAGGTGAGGAATTATGAATAGAAGCTATTTGTATATAAGTATTTCTCTAAATTAAAGACAACTTAATAATTTAAAATTCAGTCTTTGAACTACATGTCGTGATCATTATATTGATGAGATATGTATGTAAGCAAATTGATGGATTCCAAGGTGAATTTGGCAGCTGCTGCACGGTAAAAAAAAATTGAATAAATAAGTGAATTAAAAGTAAAAGTTGGTTAGATGATAACAAATACTAAGAATGAAGGGATGGGTGAAGCAAATACAAAGAGTGCAACAAACTTGTCCTCCTTAATGCGCTCTTCACACTTTTGCCGTTCAATTTCTAGTTCGTGAAATCAGAGCTAAAATCTAGAACTGAATCCAGAACTAAATTTCAGAACTGAATTCAGAGCTGAATTTCAGATCTAAAGTTCAGAACTAAAAATCAGATTTGAAATATAGAACTGAATTCAGATCTAAAGTTCAGAACTGAAAATCAGATTTGAAATCCAAACTAATATTCAAAATTCTTGTGTGTGTGTGTGTGTGTGTGTCTGTGTGAAATTCAGATTTTGTGTGTGTGTGTGTATAAGTGTAGATTATCCTTTTTATTAGCTTTGTCATTGTTTATCTTTACTTATATACTTGTTGAACGTCAGTTAAATTGTTTTATCTTATATTATATATGCTTTGATATTTATCATGGTATAATTATGATGCTTCATTATACTTGGTTAATACAAAGACTTTTATTAGTTTCAATTGTGGACTAGTTCTTAATATTCTCTAAAAAAGCATGTGTATGTTCTTGTTTAAATACATTGGTCTTTTCATTGATCTTTAAATACAACATGTTGAATCTTGAGACTATATTGTGTAATGGACTAATTTATACTTTGAATTTTTTTTTCTTTGAAGATTGGAAAAGGCAATGTAGGTGCAACAACAGAATAGGCCGGGACACTTGAGCATCAAAACAAGCGACTATATCGCCTATAAGGCCATCATCTATCTATTTTGGTTTTTAGTCTTATATTAGTGATGTATTTATTTAGGGACAAGCTACTATAATATGCGACTTTTTTTTTTATTATTTATTGTGTTTATGTTTTCTTTTATAAATTTGGTAATTAACTACGTACTCTTATTATTTTTTATTAATTATTGGTTTTTTTATTTAGTTATATAGACTATTTTTAATTTAAATTTTAATGTTATTAATTTAATTTATTATGATAAATTTAAATAACTATAATATATGTATGATGGTAATGATTTAATAAAAGGAAAAAAAACATAAAAAAAATTATAGACGCTTTTTAATGTCTAAATATTTTGAACATTTTCATATTTCAAGAGTTTCCTGCCATACCATAGGTTGACACGAAGAAACGCGAGACAACAAATAGCGTTGCTAAATTTGAGTATGTGGACACGTAAAAGCGTCGCTAAAAAACTACACAATTTTGGGATTATGTGCGAAATAAGTATTTTTCGACGCTTCGTAAATTAGTTAGGACACATAAAAGCGTCGATATTCTCGACGCTTTTTTGTGTCCCTCAAAATTCTCGACTGACGTATTCTCGATGCTTTTTAGCAGCGTCGAGAAATATTTTTGCGACGCTTTTTAGCGTCGAAAAAAGGCCTGAAAAGCGTCTAAAAAACACGCTTTTTGTAGTAGTGGCAACAAACTATGCGCCCGCGCCTTTGTGGGTTGGGGTTTGCTGGCTGAGTTGTGCGCTCGCGCGCCTTGGGTGTGCTCCCGCGCAAGAGAGTGTGCGCTGATAAAGGAATAAAGTAGTCGTTAATTGCCTATCCCAAAATCAAACACTATTTATAAAATCCTAAACCAACCTAAAATAAGTATAGGTAAGTATAGGGTCGAACCCAAAGGAGTTAGTTGGTGTTATCTTTAGCCTAAATCACGCTATTTCGGAGATTGAAGTGAGAAAAATGGTTGGTGTTATGATAGCAAAATTAGACTAATCAAGTAATTCAATAAGCTAAATGCTAGGGATATTGGTTCCACATGCTAATTCAATAATCATGCTAATCGACAATTTCTTCGTTTGATTCAAGTATTGCAAAGGACAACCAATAGTAGCAATCAAGAGAGTTCAAGAGCTATCTCCTAGAGGCCAAACTAGGGGTCACTATGAATGGCTAATCAAGGAAATTCACAAATCAAACTCAATCAATTAATGCAATTCTCAAATTGATTGGTCTTGTCATTAAGAAATGCAATGCAATCTAGATTAATCTTATAGGTTGATCATTTGTAATCTTATTAATCACATGCAAAACTATGTCAACCAATTTAATTGCAACAATTCAATCAATCAAAGATCATCAACTAGCACAAATTATCAATCAAGCATGCTTCCCCTTCTCCCTAGCAACTAATCTACTCACTAATCATGGTGTAACTCAAGAACAAATTACTAGAATTAGCATTGATCATCATTCTAAATCAAAATCAAGAGAAAGCAATATCAACTACAATATCCAATTCAAATCCAAGCAATACTAACAATCAAAGATAAAACTAAATCAATCAAGTAAGAGATGAACTAGAAGAAGAAAATCTTACTAACATTAATGATTGAAAATGAAGAAATTCAAGCTCAGTTGATCCAATGTTGAAATACAAATCCAATACCAAGAACTTCTCTCTAACTTCTCTCTCTAAAATTAAGCTAATGAAAATTATCTAAAAGTTATCTTCAAAAAAGGAATTACAAGTGTATTTATAGGCAAAGAAGAAAAACAGGATTCCCGCGCCCTCTCCAATAAACCCCGCGCACGCGGTAAAATGGGTATGGAACCCATTAAAAATTCCGCGGGCTTCCTAGGCAACACCCGCGCCCGCGTTCTTCTAGCCCGCGCCCGCGGCAAAAGCGCGGCGAGTCCCCTGCTCCCAAAGGGTGATCAGAGGGTCGCGGTCTCTCTGACACGAGCGGGCTCTCTAAACTACCCGCGCTCGCGGCAAGCCTGCAGCCAGACCGCAGAGAGTTCCTGGTCGAAATATGCCAATTTTGTGCATATGAGCCCGCACCCGCGCCCGCGGCAGACTGGCAGAGCTTGATGCCCTCTCCATGCCCTCTCTGAGCGCTCTCCAAGCCGATTATTTCCTCCTTGCTTAGTCAATATAGCCTATCTTGATTCCCTTGCAAAGACAAATCCTAGGTACCTATAAAAACAAACAACGAAAAGGAATAAAAGGGAAAAAGAACCAAATAAAAGGAAAACACGAGGAAAACACGAAAAACACAAGGAAAGAAAGAAAGAAAGGGATTAAAGGAAAAAGGATAAAAAATAAGATAAGAAAGCATAAAAAGGAAGATGAAATCATCCTAAAAGACTACCCTATGAGTGCCATAAATGACACTCATCATGCGCCCGCGCACAGGTCGCACGCAGGCCGTGCAAAACTTTCTGCCTCGATTCTGCAATTTCGCCTCTTTTACACGGGTTCTGACAGGGCTGCGCGCCCGCACACTCCAACCGCGCGCCCGTGCACATTGTGCGCGCCCTTGCACCTTGCTTTCTTCGATTCTTCTCTCATGCTTCCTTGGCTTCTTATATGCAATCCAAGACTTCAAATACCTAAGCACAAACACCAATGGAAGCAATAAGGTATAGGGAACGGTGGAAACACGCACTGAAGGCAAGCATTCAAGAATATACGGGATTTCATTAAAAACACATCGAGACATGTATGCACGCATTATTTGAACAAAACAACTACAAAACACCCTAAGACAAGCTAAAACAAGGCATAAACACTGTCCTAGGAGTGACATAAATGTCACTCATCAAATTCCCCCAAGCTAAACCTTTGCTCGTCCTCGAGCAATACAAAGAGAAAGGGAATGAATTATTCAAGCAAAGCTAAGACACTAAAGGAGATGAGAATGTACACTAACTCACTTTCGTTGGAATCACGGTCAATTTTAGCAACTAAAGACAAGCCCTTTAAACCCCTAGATCGCCCTAGAGGACGAGTGTGCTCTCGTGAGGGTTATCTAAGAGTTTAACCCACAACTCTATACAAAAACCAAGGTAAGGTGATAAAACGAAAAGGAAAAAGAAACATAAAAAGAGAAAGAAAACAAAAATTCATATTTGGACAAGAGATAAGAACAAGCACCAATGAATGCAAACCTTTCTATATAGACAAATGTATGCACATTCCAAGATGTCAATGGTTGATTGAAACATAACATATGCTAAGCATAGAGAACTAATGAGGACTCAATCCACCCTATCCTCAACAAATCGGGCCGTGTTCTCTCCACTAGATTCAAATCAACCCTTAAGCTAGTTTCTCATGATTCCTCAAAGAAACCGGAAAAAGATAAAGAAATGAAAAACTTTGAGAAGGTAATCCCGACATCTCAACTATGCATACTCTCTCCATAGGTTTGAAGTCTATCTCTCTCCACCGTTCTTTAACTCAACCCCACTAAAGTCTAAGGGTCTTTTATTGGGTTGTAACGTAAGGCTAAGGGTTAAGGCGGGGTAAAAATTTGAAAATTTTGGTGATATTTCCTAAGTGAAGCAAAAGAGTGGCCTACTCTCAGAAACAAACTCAAGAAGTCACAAAATATCAAACAAAAATACCAATAATGCCATCTCTCCCAAGCTTATTCAACACTAACACACAATATAAACAAAAATGAAAGAACGCTCCCCCCCCCCAAGCTTGAACGAAGCATTGTCCTCAAATTTTTGCTTCACTTAGGAAGAGAAATGAAACAAACTAAAATATATTTTGTGTTTTTTGTTTCTTTTTCAAATTTTTTTTATTTTTTTAATTTTTTTTTTCTTGCATACTCTTATTTAGTGTCCTTGCCTTTTTTAACTATGGACGGCTTTTTCTTGAAACTTCATTTGATTTTCTTGAATTGCATCTTTCTTCTCAAACTTTTTTGCATATTCTTTTCAAGCTCAACTTTCAAGATCTTACTTAAACCAATTATCAAAATGTCTTGTTCATATTCAACACTCTCAAAACTCAAACCTCACATGCCAATGCTTCACTAACTAAAAGGGTTGGTAAACATAGGCCATTGGGTTTTTAATGCGGTTTAAACAAGAGCGGAAAACATTAGGCTTTAATTTGTTAGCAAGTAGGTCGATGCAAAATAGAGAGCAACCCCATCTTACCACTCTATAGAGCAACTCCATCTTACCACATTCCCGTGAACTAAGGCTTCATGGACCCCTAAAAGTTCTTAACCCGACTACCTTAGCATATAGTATTCGAGAGTCAACCAATGACACTCACAAACCGTTCACACATTTACCACTTAGGATGAAAAATATTCAAGAATACAAGTCCCAAAATAGAATGTCAAAAATAAGAACAAACAAAACACATTTTGCCAAAATTACCTTGATAATAAACAAAAACCTTTTTGGATTTTTCAAAATAAAAGAAAAAACATGGAAATGCATATACTCAAGTGCATGGCATAAATGAATCAACATCCCACCAAACATGATATAATACCCTCCCCCAAGCTTGAATGAGACAATATACTCAAATATAAACCAAAAAATCCATGGGAGGGGAAAAGAAACAAATCAATCCAACAAACCAACACAAGTCCAACGAGTCACCAACCATTAGAGAAAGAGCTAGGAAAGATATTACCGGATATTGGTGGGTGTAATTACCCGCAAATGAACCAATTTAACCTTTCAAAGTCGATTTCCTCTTGAATTGAATCTCGATTTCCATATGCTAGCAAAAATAGGCATTAAACTTCCTTAATTCTTGATCCAAACCAATGCATAACTATATATCAAGTTATGTACCTAGCAAGGGGCACACAAACATTTCCATGAGATAAAATATAATCTAAAAAGAAAGGAAATGAAAGCAATAAAAATCTCGGGTTACTTCCCGAGAAAGGCTTATTTAACGTCCAAGCAAGACTGCTCTAGTAAATAATATTGCAATGAATGCAAGAGCTTATCAAATGCACTACCACACATTTAATAGGATAACAAGTAGGCAAATGAAGGAAGGAGGACGTGCAACAAGATTATTGCACGTAAGTGATGAGGAAGATGCCAAAAGAAGGAAGAAAAATCAAAAGAAAAATCAAGAAAATAAGAAGAGAAAGAAGAAGAAAAATAAGGAAAATAATAAAAAGGCAAAATCTCCTCAAAATCTTTTTGGGTGGCACAATCACCCATTTCCTCAATAATAGGAGGATGAAAAGGAAAGTCTCATCAAACAAAAGAAGGTCCTCAATAGGCTCTTTGACAAAAGAAGGGAGGAACATCGGATAGTAGGAGATGTGGTCAAATTTCCTTGACAAAAGGATATGAGGAAGGGGAGGAGAAACAAAGGTCTCATATGGCCTCACATAACCAATGAGGGCATGCAAATCAATTATAGAATCCTCAAAAGAACACTCATGACGCAAATCTCCCTCAAACAAAAACTTTTCAATATAAATAACCTCATCCTCCTCTGTATCACAACAATGAACAACAACTCCCTCAACATCCTCAAAGCCTAGAGTCTCTAAACCAAGCATGAAAGGATAAAGGTTTCTCTCAAACTCATCCCTTTCCCATGAAGCATTGCCAACAAACTCTCTCAAAAGGCTATAATGTTTTGTTACACCTTCAATGAACATACTAGCCATAACCTCAAATGAGTCCAAAGACTCGTGAATAGAAGGGTCACAAACATGCAAGGTAGACTCATCAAGATATGGAAGGGGTTGGAATCCTCAAAATCGACATTTTCTTCATTCACAACTCTTCCACCATCACTCAAGGGACTCTCAATCTCTCTTGATTTCTCAAACTCACCATCATCATGCTCATGAACTCTCTCATTCAAACATGAAGATGGCTCACTCACATCCTCACCAAGGGAAGCTCTCAAAGGGGGTGAATAAGGGGAAGGATGGCATTCAAGCTCAAATGGGGAATGAAAAGGATTAAAATCCTCAAAAATCCTCTCATCACAAGAAAATCTCCCCTCAACTTCACACCCTTGGCCCACATCATCCTCAAAAACACTCTCACACTCCAAGTGAGGTGCCTCACCTCCATCTAAATAAATCATAGCACTCATCACTTGGGCAAGCCTCACTTCTCTCAATTTTTGTTCCTCTTGAAGCTCTTGGAGTTGTTGGGTGAGATATTGCATTTGAGAGAGAATTTGGGCATCAATGTTATTGGGTTAAGGTTCATGATCAAAATCAAATTTCATATCATCAAAATTAGCAGAAACCTCATCACAATGAGCATAAGGGGGAAAGGGGTCAAATTGCATATTTGAATCATCACAAGGCACATTAGAAGTATCACGAGAATTCATGCAAAAATTAAAAGAATCTTGACATTGAGAATCAAAACAAGAAACATGAGATTCTCTATCATAGAAATCCCTAGCAAGCCATGTGAAGAAATTCCAAGCATCATGCATAGACAAATGACAAAATCTACCATTATTCATGTCCTCAACCATTCCCCTAGTATACTCATTCATGCCCCAATAAGCTATACCACAAGCATCACTAAAAGAACACCCATGGTAACTAAGGAAACCATCTAGTCTTTCAAAGTAAGCATAGAAGGGTTCAAATTGAGGAAAAGATAAGCATGCCATTTTTATACAAATAACAAAGAAAAGCAAACAAAAATCAAATAATATACAAGAACCTAGCTAATCTAATCAACACAAACTAATGAACGCCTTAGTTCCCCGGCAACGACGCCAAAATTTTATTGCGGGTAAGATTTGGTCGTTGGTCTACTAACCCTAACCAAATTAGAAATTTATAATACCTAAACTTACACTAAACTAGTTAGTGGCAAGTAAATGGTCGAACCACAAAAACTAAGTGTATCAATTTGTGAAAATTAGACTAGTAGGAAGGATTGTGAGATAGAGAGAGATTAAACCAAATACTACTAAGAGAAAATAACTAAAACTAGGGAAAGTGGAATCCAATTACATCAATGCATTCAACAACATCATACAATAAGATGAAAATGACCTCAATTAGGAACATCAACACATTTAACTCACTCTCGCACAATAAATCTTGTTAATTATCCTACTAAACTAATTCACTCTCGTGCAACTAGCCTAGCAAAGGTATGGAAGAATTTAGGGCTCTCAACCAACTCACTCTTGCACAATTGATTGAAAACACAATTAAGAGCATAGAATCGATTAGCTAGAAGGATTCTAATACATAAAAGCATCATCCATACACAATAATCAAGAAACAATTTCATACTAATCACAATCAATCATTCAATTCATTAATATAACCTTCATCCTATTTCCTAGAACAAGACCTAAGCTAACATAATAAAGATAAACATGGAAAACAAGATAAAATAAGAATAAAACAAGATCAAACAAACAAACTAATTAATCTACTCAAATCAACAAACTAAAAGAAAATACTAAGAATTAAGCAAAGCAATAAAGATGAGAGAAAGTTAGAAAATGCTCATTGAATAGATGAGAAGAAGTTCCACAAAGTTTCTTCTTCAACCTCTCAAAAACTCCATGGAAAATCCAAGGTTTCTCTGTCTAAAACTACTCCTAAACTAGAGAGAGAAAATCCTAATCTAACCCTAAGAGAGAGATGATCTCCTAAAACTAGGGAAAAAGATCTAAGGAAAAAAAATGAAGTTCCCCCGTAAAAAAGTAAGGCTCGCAAATATATAGGAAGTCGCGAAAAAACGCTTAACATGGCTCGTTGTGCGCCAGTGCATGGTAGTTGTGCGCCCGCGAATGGTATTTGTGCATCCGCGCAAGGAATCTGTGCGCCCGCGCAACAGAATGTGCGCCCGCGCATGGTGGCTGCACGCCCGCCTTGGGTGTGCGCCCGCGCAAGAGAGTGTGTGCCAGTGCACAGGTCGCACGCAGGCCGCGCAAAACTTTCTGCCTCGATTCTGGAATTTCGCCTCTTTTGCGCGGGTTGTGATAGGGCTGCGCGCCTGCACACTCCAACTGCGCGCCCGTGCACATTGTGCGCGCCCTTGCACCTTGCTTTCTTCGATTCTTCTCTTATGCTTCCTTGGCTTTTTATATGCAATCCAAGACTTCAAATACCTAAGCACAAACACCAAAGGAAGCAATAAGGTATAGGGAACGGTGCAAACACGCACTGAAGGCAAGCATTCAAGAATATACGCGATTTCATTAAAAACACATCGAGACATGTATGCACGCATTATTTGAACAAAACAACTACAAAACACCCTAAGACAAGCTAAAACAAGGCATAAAAACTATCCTAGGAGTGACATAAATGTCACTCATCACCTGATGACAACCTATATCCAGTTGTAGAGCAACACCCTTGGTATGCCGATTTTGCTATCAATTTAGTGGATGGTACCCTACCTCCTGACTTGTCCTACCAACAGAAAAAGAAATTCCTTTCTAATGTTAAACATTATTTTTGGGATGATCATTTTTTGTTTCGTGAGTGTGCAGATGGATTATTTTGCAGGTGTGTTCCCGAATGGGAAGTTCACGGCTTACTTACTAGTTGTCACACCTCACCTTATGGAGAACATCATGGCCCCACCAAAACGGTGGCCAATAATAATGAGTCGGTTTTTTACTAGCCCACCATGTTTAAGGATGCTAACACTTTTGTGCAGGTTTGTGACTCTTGCCAGAGGACTGCCAACATCTCGCGGCGGCATGAGATGCCTCAAATTGGGATTCTAGAAGTTGAAATTTTTGATGTTTGGGGTGTTTATTACATGGGACCGTTCCCTTCTTCAAATGGGAATCGCTATATACTTGTCGCCGTTGACTATGTATCCAAGTGGGTTTAGGCCATTTCCACTCCTGCTAATGATGCCAAGGTGGTCCATAGACTTTTCAAGAAGACTATGTTTTCAAGGTTCGGAGTACCAAGAGCCATAATCAGTGATGGAGGATCCCACTTCCATGAGCGGAAATTAGATACCCTCCTCAAGAAGTATGGTGTATACCATAAGATAGGTTTAGCCTACCATCCTAAAACTAGTGGCCAAGTTGAAGTTTCTAACTGTGAGATCAAGGCCATTCTAGGAAGGTGGTGACAAAATCAAGGAAAGATTGGAGCGATAAGTTGGATGACACCCTTTTTTGCATACAGAACTGCATTTAAGACCCCAATAGGTACTACCTCATATAGACTTGTGTACGATAAAGCATGTCATCTTTCGGTGGAATTAGAATACAAGGCTTATTGGGATATTAAGGAGCTCAATTTGGATGTTAAGATAGCGGTAGGAAATAGGTTACTTCAACTTAACCAACTTGATGAGTTTAGGTTGGCGGCCTATGATAGTGCACGTGTCTACAAGGAGAAGACCAAGAGATGGCATGACAAGATTATCCTTCCAAGAGAGTTCAAAGAGGGTGACAAGGTGTTGTTGTTCAACGCTAGACTTAAACTATTCCCAGGAAAGTTAAAGTCAAGGTGGTCAGGTCCTTTTATTGTCAAAAGGGCTAACAAATTTTGTTCTATGGAATTATTCGATGAGCATGGTAATGAATTCAAAGTTAATGACCAAAGACTTAAGATATATCATGAGGGGGATACTATTGGTGCAGTTGAACTTCTTAACCTAATCGGTTCAAGTTCATTTTGAGATACAATGTGGTAAGAGGGTCGTGCGGGACCTAGATAAACCAGCGCTTTGCGGGAGGCAACCCGTATTTCTTGCTTTCTAAACTAGTTTTTCTTTTATTTTATTTTATTTTTTAGAGAGGCGAGGAGAGTGCAATTTTACCTTTCCTAAGTGTTTTTGTACATGTATTGAATAAACAAGTAAGGAGGATTAAAGAGGAGAAAAGTTGAAAAAGAAGAGAAGTGTGTGTTCAGAAACGGGTGCGGGCCCGATCGGGCGCGCAAGTAAGAGCAATAATTGAGCAAAATATTCTCGATCAGGCGCACAAGTGAAGTAATTTTAGAGCTTTAATTCGCCCGATCGGGCGCCCAAGTTAGGTTGGAAAAACAAGGGAATTTCGCCCGATCGGGCGCATTTTTTGAGAAATCGAGTGAAAAAGAAAGATATGTCGGGTGAAGCTCGCCCGATAGGGAGAGCAAAATGGAGAAATTAACTCCGCGTTTGCGCCCGATCGGGCGGAGTTCTCCCGATCGGGGGCGCAACTGGAGAAAATGCATCTTAATAATTCACCCGATTGGGCGCGCCATTCTAACCGTCCCCCATAAACTCTTTTCTTCCCTTTTCTTTTCTCATTTATTCCTTACTTCATCTTCTTCATTCATACTTTCTCTCTCTAAAAACTCCATTTTCATACCTCCAACCTCATTTCTTTCTAAGATCTCCTCAAATTCATCCATCAAAACTTAAATTTTTTACACATTCTTTATCCTTTCACCTTCCTGTACATTCTCCACCAAATTTTTACCACTTTTTCTCAAAATTTTTCAAAGCCTTAAGAGAGAGAAAGCTTCAAAATCCTCAACTTCATACTAAAACGGCTTCCAAGAGATCTAGGCAACAAAGGGGTGAAAGTTCAAGACAACAACAACAACCAATGGTTGACTCGAAACTCCAAATTTCGGGGTGGAGCGAGGTGGTGATCACCTCAATCAAAAAACGGGCTAGGATGCTTAACCTCATTCAGAGGCAGGTAATTTCTACTTGCTTTGTACATCATCCTATATTGTATAGAAAAATTATTCAAGGGTATTGGAATGAGTGGCTTTTTTCAAATGCATTATGACACTTATGATTATTTGACTTTGGAATTTATTTCTAGTTTTAATGTGATTAAATCTAATACTTTGATTACTCATGTTCAATTCTGATTGATTAACAATGATGTGCGAATGACTTTGAAAGAATTTGGTAAATTGTTTGAGCTAAAATCGGATAAACCCATTGAACTTTCCTAGGACCATATTGCCTTAGTCTATAAAAAACTCAAAAGGGAGGATTTAACTAACCTCCAACATGCCAAGGGAACTTGGGTTCAACATCCCGTGCCAAAATTTTTGCAACGGTTTGTTGGCCTCACCATCTTTGGGAGGCATGAAACGGCTAATGTAAGGAGGGATGAGCTAGAGTTGCTGGCCTCCTATATTATTCCTAGTGCCGAAAAATTGAACATACCACATAGGATAGCCCAACACTTCCAAAGGGCGACCAATGCGGCCGAGGGGAGTAGGTCTAGGGCACCTATCTGTTTTGGTGGGTTGGTTACCCACATTGCGGTCAAACATCTAGGTTTCACCCCGACCGGCCATAGGAAAGTAGAGGGTTCTACCCTTATCGACCTTGCTTACTTTGGAGGTCTTAATTGGATCCAACCCATGGGTGGTGAGACATGTTGGATAATTTATCGAGAGTCGGGTAGGAGAGACCAAGCCTTTATGCTACCCATCCCCACCTTGACTAAATTTGAGAAGGGTAAGCCTTCCTATACATTTGAGTTAGATGGTCAAGAGGAGGCTCAAGTGGCTCACCATACACCACCCCACCTACTACCTCAATTCCAACCACCACCCCACCTCAACTCTACACATATGACATCTCTACCACTTCTATTGATTATAACATTGACCCTTATGCCCCATATGACTTTTCGGCTTTTAGGAGCCAACTTGATAGGATTGAGAGGGGACAGGGGATAGTAGAGAGTTTGGTGCAAAACCTATACACTAGACTAGGTTCTCTAGATAGAAGGGTTGGGTATGTGGAGACAAACCTAGGGAGAGGTTTATACCCCATCTCCGATGATTATGCACGTCGAGGGGCTATCCCCCCCGAGGCTCTTGTTCCCGACTGGTTTCAATGCCCCCAAGGAGGGTATTGGACCACCGGTGCCTATGGTAGTTATGTGGACTATTCTTCGGTCCATGGTTATGGGGCCGATGCTTCTTTTGGTAGGATTGGGGGGAATGTGGACCCTTACTACTTTTCAGGTGGTTCGGGTTATGGTGGCGTTGGTACGAGCCATGGAGGTGCCAGCTCTAGCATTGGAGGTGGCTACTCGAGGATGGATGAGGATGATGATGAGTAGCTACTCCTAGCTACACCGCCAAGTAAATGAGGGCATTTCTTGATTTGGCTTGGGGGAGATGATCTTGTACATATGGTAACTCTCTCTCTCTTTTCTCTATTTATTGCTTTCTAGTATAGATTTATCTGCTTTCTAGTCTTGTTTTTATTGCTTTCTTATATGAAAAATTGAAAAAAATTTTGAAAAAAAACAATCAAAAAATACGTTCCAATGAATTGTAAATCATGCTTCCCCGTGCCCCATACTTGAAATATTATTTTGATTCTTGGTATATGATAAGGAGAATTGTGAATTTGTTGATCATGATTTGAAGTTTAATTGTTCGGATGCCTAAACATGTGTCAATTTTGCCAACTGTTTGTGAATATAGCTTGACTAGTTGATTTGGAATTGTGAGATAGTTCCTGGTATGTCAAGGAATTTGTGTATTGGTTTGCAACTATGAGTAATGTTTGTATGGCTCAATATTATGAACATTGAGGAGGACGAAGGCATTTGTTCTCTTAGGTAGCCTTCAGAAGATATTAGACACATTTGTTCCCTTCTTGCTACCCATGTTGTTGCTTGTGCCCTTTTATTGATTATTTAGCCACATTACAAGCCTATATGAGCCCCATTGGTTAATAGTCCCAAGCTTGGCTTGGGGGAGCTAATAGTTGGTGAGGTGAGGGAGTTTTGATGTGCATATTTTTTGCACAATGTGGGAATAAAAGAAGAGTGTTTGTTCTTTTAAATTTGTGGTTGGAAATATTGTTGATGGTTTGTTGTTCAAGAATGAAAAAAAATTTCCAATGTGAGATAAAAAGAATAAAAAGAGCAAAAAAAAAAAAAAATTATTTCAAATGTTCAAATGTTCTATGTGAAGGTTGCTCAAGAAAAAAAAGTGAAAAAGTTCAGGAAAAAAAAGAAGTTCAAGTTTGAAAAAAAAAAGGAAAAAAAAGAATGAGTTCAAAGTTTGTTTTATTTCACTCTAATTCTTTATTAGCATATTTCTGTGAGTGAATGTGTAAGTGTTGGGATTGTTGTTATGTATGGGATTGTTTGGTGAACTTTTGCGGAGTTCAGTTATGATTGGAGATGATTTGGTCATTGTTTATTTTGACCTTGGGTTTTGTTAGGATATGGCTCCCTTAAGAATGGCTTTTCTCCCACATTTTCCTAAATTTATCCTACCCTTTACCCTAACCTTACATTACAATTTTTAAAGATATTCCGACTATTGTGCATAGAGTTGTATGAATGTGAAAGTCTTGTTTATCTTCGAGTCGACTAGTAGGTTAAGTGTATTTCTTTTTAAACACACGAGAGTGTGAGTTGGGAGGGAATTGTTCACATTAAAGGAGTTGGGATGGAGAGCGATCGAGTACATCTTTTACTCACCACATAAATGAGAGTTGAGTGTGTGAGCACTAGTCTTGAATTCTATATGCTCATGTGGTTTGCTCTACTTGAAAATTGTTGGGGAGGAAGAGTGATTAAATGAATGAGATTGATTGACATTGAAGCATGTTTATTAGATTTGCCTTGAATCGTTTGTGCTTGATTTTGATTAATCGGGGTGAGGCGTGTTTTATATGTTCATTGATGAGCTCTTTTCTTTGGGACAAGAAAAGGTTTGGCTTTGGGGAGTTTGATGTGTCTAATTAGTAGTTAGTAGTGTTTTTGTCTCTTTAGAGCAACTTTTATTACTAATTGGTGTTTTCTAGTGTTTTCGTAGTTTTGGTTGAGTTTTGTAGGAAATTGCACTTTTGGAGCATTTTCCCGGGTTTTCATGTAGCAACTACGGCATTAGAGGAGCACGACAGTTTTTGAAGCCCAAGGCCGGTTAGAGTCATCAAGCCGGTGATTAAGGGATCGACTTATGGAATACGAGCGTTGGACCGAGTATTCAAGACCCTAGGTGGATATCCGGATTGGGCTAAGAAGAAAGCCCAATTGAAGTTCCAAGACTTAAGAAGAAGCTGAGCCCGACCGGTTGAGCATTGGCCCTATCGGGCGCGGCTGTTTAGAAGGGTGTGCGAAAAAAAAGGTGGGTCCGTTCGCCCGATCGGGAGCGTGTTTCTGGAGCAGCTAATTTGACGAGCACTTCGTTTCCAATTAGGAGTGTTTTTAGAGTTTGTTTAAGTACGATTTAGGTTTATTTTTTTGTTGACCTTTTTACTTAGACTTTCTCTCCCTTCTTAGATTATTTTCTTTTTCTAGATTTCTCTGAATTTTACTCTTGTTCTTAACTCAATTTTGTAGTTCCATCGATTTGGTAACGATTTCTTCTTTATTAATTTCAGCAATTTTATTCTTTCATTCCTTTATGACTTGCTTAATTGCTTTGTTTAATTTATGTTCAATTATGTCTGAGTAGTTTTCTTTGTAGGGTTTGTGGGGATCCAATTAATAGTATGATGGGGTAGTTTATGATTATTTATTGTCAATGCTTAATTAATTTCCAATTGATTGACTAAATGCTTTGCAATTAGATTAGGCCTAGTTTAATTGTATGAGTTTAGCAATATTGGTTCGAGATTCGAGAGATGATAATTGATGTTAAGGCTTAGTTTCAATAGGCGGACTAATTTATAAATTGTTAAGTCGAGATTCGAGA